AGAAAGGCCAAGATGGCTGGTACGATGGCTAGTGAGTAATGAAACAGTCACTCTGTACTCAGCACAACAGAACAGGGAGGGCAGGATGTTTACCCTAAGAGAAGAGAGGTCTGCAAGCTGTTGATGCACCAGTGATGACTACAGCTCTTGCATCTGCTGAAATAACAGGTTTGGACCTTACCAAGAAGCATATCCCATACCCTAATAGAAATCCACTGGGTCTTTTCTCTGTGGGATATATTTTCTCTCTGCATCTTCTAAACAGCATAACTCTCCACAGCTTCCATTACATTTCCATCCATTGTCTGATAGCCTTATTTTTGTTTTTTTGTCACCAGGAATTGAAAAGTTCTTCCTTGGGCTGTCAAGTGATGCCAGGAGACACCCCAAAACAAGGAACCTTCTAGAACATGCTATCCCTGTTGTGCTGAGGACCTTATTTTCACCTACTCAGCATGACTTCCCAGTGGGGAAGTGCAGCCCCATGTCAGCCTACAGTATGGGGTGGGAAGGCAGCTGCATGCATCATGCTGTGTTGATGTTCCCACTGCCTGTTTTCCATAGCAGCATGTCTGCTTCTCCTTGTACCCGTGATCACATCTATGATGACATCTAACATATTTCAATGGTCATTTTAGTACTATTGTTTTGGATCTGTGGGGCAAGGTTTTGGAGGGGGACTGCGGGGATGGCTCTGTGAGGAGCGCCCATCAGTGGCCCATGTCAGAGAAGAGCAGCTCTAGCTGCTCTGGACCCACTAGGCAGAGCTGAGTCACGAGTGATGCTGGGTACACCTCTTGGAGAGCAGATTGAAGGGAAGGAATCAGTGCTGTGCAACTGCAGCTGGGAGAAAGGTGTGAGAGTCACTATATGGGAGTCCAACTGCCTGCCAGGCTGACACCACCACAACCAGGCTGCCACGGATGGCGGGTAGGAACATGCTAGGGGTACATCTCTGCTCTGCTCACACCAGAGCAGAGCTGCAGCTGCCAGAATAAAGTTACTTCTCCAGGTTAACAGTGATAGGGCAAGGGGCAATGGCCTCGAGTTGTGCCTGGGAAGATTCAGGTTAGATATCAGGAAAAACTTCTCAGGAAGAGTGGTGAGGCAGTGGCACAGGCTGCCCAGCGAGGTGGTGCAGTCACCGTCCCTGGACGTGCTCAAAAAACGTGTGGATGTGGTTAGTGGGCATGGTGGGGATGGGCTGATGGTTGGACAGATGATCTTAATAGTCGTTTCCAATCTCAGTGATCCCATGATTATAGATACGCTCATCACAGAGGCGTTAAGAACTCCTTGGCTATTTCTTCCTGAAAACTTCCAGCACCGCTAACACAAACCACCGGCTCCGGCCCGAGCGAGTGGAGGAATCCCGGGCGCACCTCCGCTCCGTCCCGCCCGCGGGCGCCGAGCAGCAGCTCCGGCTGCGGAGCCGCCTCCTCCCCGCCTCGCCTGGCGGGGAAGGAGGGAGGGACAGAGGTGCGGAGGGCGCGGCGGGGCGGTTCGGTAGAGGGCCGCGGCGCGGGCGCGGGGCGGCAGGCGTCCCGCCGGGCTCGGCCATGCGGGAGTCGCGCCGCACTGCGAGGGGCTCCGCGCAGCCCGCCGCCCTCCGGTCGCCCGCAGGGAGATAAGCCAAACCATGAGCGCGGCTCCCCAGCGGCCGGACCTCAGTTTTTTAAGCGATGAGGAAGCCAGGACGATTTTTCAGGTGCTGCAGAGGGACTCGGAGCTGCGGCGGGCGGAGAAGGACAGAGTGAGGTACTGCGAGCAGGTTGCGGGCGGCGCGGCCCCGGCGGGCAGCGCGGCGCCCCGTCCGGGGCACAGGCAGCCTCGGGGCCCCGCGTGTTGTGGCAGGCGCGGCTGGGAGGCAGCGGGGCGGCGGGCCGTGGCTTTGGTGTCGTCGGTATTCTCTCTGGTGGGCGAACGCGGTGCGTGGCGGCGGGACGGCGCCGCGAGGCCCTGCGGGACGGAAGGCGCATTCAGGTGCGCGCGTCCTTGGACGAGCCGTGTACAACAGCCGCGTGTCATCGCCGACGCTCTCTGTTGGCGGTGAAAGCAAGGGTCAAGGAACAAATAAAAGATAGGTTTATCACTTAGCTTTAGAGGTTATTATTTCTTGTTCCGTGTGAAGCTCCCGGTACGTCGCAGACGGTGTGCAAGTGAAAGGCGCCGTTCTGTCACCTTAGAGTCGTGGAATGGTCGGAGTTGGAAGGGCCCTGGAAAGGCTGACTAGCCCAACTCCCCTGCAGTGAACAGGGACACTACAGCACCTGCAGGCACTTCTCACTAATAGCACATTCGTGAGCTACAGAAGGAACATTAAGGGGTAATGTTTCTGTCAGTTGGGTTCTCTGCTGCCTGTTTTTAGCTGTTCGAAGGCTCAAGAAGCAATAGCTGGCTCTGGAATTCAGGGCTTCCATCTGCCGCCAGCTCTGTGCTTGTGCTTCCATCGGCTGCTGGCTGGGTGTCACAGCTCAGCCCCACACAGCCTTCTGCTGGCTGCCCCACAGCAGGATGCAGAGAATCAAAACTAGGAAAATGTGCAAGAATTCATGGCCTGAGATAAGAACAGTTTAATAAGAAAGGGAAAACAGGGAAAAAAAAGAATTTTGACAACCACAAGTGATGCACAACACAATTGCTCCCCACCCACTGACTGATGATGCTCAGCCAGTCCCTGAGCAGCAGCTGCCCTACACTTCCACTGTCACTGCTCAGTGTGATGCTGTATGATATGGGGTATCCCTTTGTTCAGTTTGGGTCTGGTGCCCTGTTTCTGTCCCCCCCAGCTCCTAGGCAACCCCAACCCTTCTCAGAAGGGGGAGAAGCAGAAGAGTCTGATTCAGTGTGAGCACTGCTCAGTAACAACTAAAACATGGCTGTGTTAGCAATGTGTTAGAATTACTCTCATCCTAAATCCAAAACGGAGCACCACACCAGGAAGAAAATTGACTCTATCCTAGCTGAAACCAGGATGCTGTTGACAAAAAGTGATCTCTCTTCATGCAAAGGCTGTCAAAATCAGCTTATGGCATGAGAAGACATTTTTGGTGATGCTGTACTGAGATGGAGCCTACTTTAAATCACTGTTGAAGAGACATTGGGAAAGATAGGCGAAGGCGCCAAACTGAAATCTAGGTTAAAGTCCTGGTTCTGTCAAAGGCTTTCTAAGTGTCCTTGGGCAAGCTGTTAATCGCTTTATCCTAATAAAAGTACTTTCTTCCTCACTCCACTTGTCTACCTGGTCTCACATAGCCTTTAAGCCCTTCAGGCCAGGCGAGTCCCATCACAAGCAGTCTTTGTGGTGCTGCTACTATAATCTAAGTAATAACAGTGATGGCCCTGGAGGGCCTAGTCCTGCTGTTCTTATATGGCCACAGTGAGCTTCCGAAACTCCAAATAAAATCACATTTAGCAAATTGAGCTCATGTGCTTGCCCCCTTGTCTCCAATTAATTCTTATTACCATTCTGATAATTAACTTTGTGCACATTTTTTCAGTTCTAAGATTTTAAAATACTGTCTGGGCACTGCTTCAGCTCGCTCCTGTAGTGCTTCTGAAGTGTAATCCTCAAGGTTTGATTCGTGCCATGAATCCAGTGGGATGTATGGGAGGTGATATGCAATGGGAAGAGAGGTTTCGTCAGTATGACTTCCCTGCATGGAGGCACCAAGGAGAGGTGTGCTCCACTGTGCTCTTGGGCATGCTTTTTGAAAGAGCAACCAGGAGCTGGAGAGAACCAGGGAGCAAGTTAACAACAACCAGTGAGCTCAAGTCTGCTCAGTGCCCCCCTCTGCTTACAGTGTAACATATTCCTGTGTAGATTAATCTCTCTCAGACAGATAGAAGGAATGAAGAGTTTCCTCATGGACCACAAATCAAATTCCAAAGACTATACTGCTCTTACGCGTGCTGGTTGGTGTCAGACAAGTGAGCGTATAGCTGTCTGCAAATCTCTTGAAAAATCAATGAAACACTGAAATCCATTCCCAAATAAAACTCACTCTGGATTTAAAAGGAAAAAAAAAAAGGCAGGAGCAGGCTTTTGTCTTTTTATCAACTGCTTTTGCTGCAAGTAATAAGTTCTGCGTTCAAAAGATGGATGCAGGCTGGCTCACCTTGTCCAGCAAGTGACAATTAGAGGAGCTGATTGTCACACAAATACGAATGTATTGCTGTGCAGCATGACATGAAATGTGTACAGGGGGCTGCTTTATATGTGACTTCATACAGCCCTCCCCAGCTCCCTTTCTGAACTCCCCAAGGAGGGGAAGCAGAGAGAAGTGCCGGGAGCTGATGGCGTGATGGGAACAGCACAAAACAGCACTAGGGAAGGTAAAACTGGGCATTAGGAAGCATTCCTGTACCATGAGGGTTGGTCAGACACTGCGACAGGCTTCCTGGAAAAGTGGTTGATACCCCACAGCTGTCAGTGTTCAAGAGGCATTTGGGTAGTGCCCTCAACAACGTGCTTTAGCTTTTGGTTAGCCTTAGGCAGTTGGATGAGATGACTTGGAAGGTCCCTTCTAAACTGAACGACTCACCTTTGTGGCCTTTGTGTGGACCTGTCAGTTTTACTCTCCCTTTTATTCAGAAATGGACTGTGATCCTGTCGGACCTCCATTTGTTCTTGCTCTTGATGTCTAGCAGGGCTCCTGCTGTGTTCTGGGCCGTGGATTCCCCTGACTGCCTTTTTTTTCGCCTGTTTTCTTCTTTCTAGTGCCCTCCCGTGGCCATTGTGAAAAATAATACCTTTGAGTAGCTACTGCAAACGAGTAGCCGAGCTTCTCCCGTGAAACAGGCACAGAGAGGCTGCAGCAGCCAGCTTTGGTGTAACTCACATGACTGTGCACACACTGCCATGCACTCTGAAATTAATACAGAAACTTAATAGTAAGTACTTACTGCATCATTCAAAACAAGCAAACAGAAACTATTAGTTTTGGGCTTGGGTAACACCCAGCTTCAGTATTCTTGTTCATCAAATCAAAAAATCAAAATCAAATCAAAAAAATAAGTTTTATTCACAATACTCCTTTGGAGGAAAATTCATGTATCATAAGCATTAGTGTTGGAGGAAAAAAAATGAATATGTGATCTAATTACGATATTAAAAACAGAAAACTAACTCTGTCATAAAAGACTGTTTCAGTCAAAGTAGCTAGTGAAACTGATGAACTTGTAGATGCCTGTGGAAGCAGGTTCCTTCTCCTAAAAACTCCAATCACAGCCGGATGCCTATGAGGAAACAGGGAGGCATCCAGCTTCTTTATGGGATGGCATTATGTTCAATTGGGTGTCTGGCAGTTCAGTTTCCATAAGGACAGACCAAATGCTTGCAGTAGATGCAGGTAATGATACCACAGATCAGCTTTTCAGACAGAGTGGAATAGGCTTGAAAATTCTAACATAAAAGCAGTCCAGATCTCTTCTGACTTCTGGTTTCAAGGTTTCAGGGTACACCCAGACAACATTCCAAGCTTTGTTTTCCAGCTGCTGGGGACAGAAGTTGAAAAAAAGATTTGACATCTGAAATTTACATGTGGAGCCCCAGGTACCAAAAGGCTTAACAAACCTGTAGGTGCTTCTCTTTTCTGTCCTTTCTCCAAGAAGCCAATGGCAGGGTAACCATGGAGGCTGCTTCCAGTCCCTTCAGGACAGCACTCACTGGCAGCTTGGCAAGGGACTGGCAGGCGGTCCACTCAGGAAGACTGTTGCAGTAGGGCATCAAACTATGGAGTGCAGAGGTGGAGCTGCTGCCTTTAATCTCTGGGGAGCTCCTCCCTCTGCAGTTTGTGGAAGGTAGGCAGTGCCTGAGCAGGTGTCCTCCTAGCTAGCCATGGGGCTGCTGGTCCCTCTGGCTGCCTGAGCAGGTGCTCAGGTTCGGCATGGAAATGCCCCTCTACCACTGAAACAGCACAGAGAGGCAGGAGAGCAACAGCTGGACAAGAGGAGCAAGGAGATATGGAGCTAATTGCTTAAAAGAGGGCGCAGGTAGGGGACTGTGGCAGGGTGGAGAGGCAGCTGGTTTACTTGGAAAAAAAATGAATAGCTGGGAGTTACCGCACATGGGATGTGGGCTAACAGAGAATGGATTTAAGCAGGCTGAAGTGCTCTGTGTTGTTTAATTGCTAACTTTTAGGAGGTTCTTTGGTATCATGTAATGCACTCTACTATGACTACATATGGTAGCTTTCTGTCACTTTATTAATCTGAGAAAAAGAGAAATGCTATTATCTTCACTTTCAAATGAGACATTGAAAATAACAGGCAACTGAGCAGGGAATTGAACCTACCTCCCTGGTTAGAAGCTTCCTGATCATGTTTTAAGAAAAAAACTATGCCTGTGTTATGTGAGAAGTGGTTTTGTGTGTATGTTGTGTTGTTTTGTTTCTAGAAGGAATGAAATATGCTCCAGAGCATATTTCAGGCATCAGCCTGTCAGTGAATTAAAATTGAGAAAGCAAAAAAAAAGAGGAAAAGGAAATTGAGCGTTTGGTAGAGAAGAGCTCTCAATCCTATTGCTTTAATTTGTTTTGCTTATTTCCAGGGTGGCTTATGTGATTTTTAATTTGCATACATAGCAAAGGAGAGGTTTGTTTTCATTTTATCCTCCCATTTAAAGATGAAAGCAAAAGAAATTAATTGTGAGAAACATTCAGCATTACTCACTGCTCCTCTCTTGGTGACCCATTGAAAGCATATAATTCTTGGGGGAAAGATGAATCCCCTCCTTACTTTGTTCTAGATGAGCTCTACAACAAATTATTTGGATGCAGTTATTTTTACAAGAGCACAACTGTTCTCATTGCCTTACAGCACATCATTTACAGCATCCGTCCTTTGCTGCAACTAATTCTTCATTGTATTCTCTTGGCTGACATTTTCTCTCACGGGTCTGATGATAGAAGATGGCAATAAAACCCTGTGTAGGAAATGTACTTTTCCGTTTTTTTTCCATACTCCTAACCTCAGAAGCATTTATTGCAAAGGTGCAGCCATACACAGCCCCCTCTCCTGGTGCTTCAGTTATTCTGCAAGCAAATTATTCTGTCTTGCTTACGTTTAGTCAGGTCTGACACTTCATTATTTAACCCAAGGGTAATTTTGGCATGTTCACAGAGGTATCTGCTTAGAGAATCAGAATAACTTACTTGGCGAAAGATTTAGATAGGGCCCAAACTCCTTAAAAATTAGAAATAGTTTTTAGAATCCACCCCAAAGTACCCATAATCAGCATGGGTGGGGAAGAGCAGGATACCAGGGCACCAGCACTCACGAGTACTGTGGTTTCGTTGGCGCTCCCTCCCTGAACAAAGCATTAATAAAGAAATTCTTTCATAAGATATACTCCGCCCTCAATGCTCCAGAGCATGATCGCCCATTGTGTCTTGTTTGCGAAGGAGATGCTATTATTATTTACTCCTGATAATGTGCCACTGGCATGGTTAGTGGTTTGTAAACACTCATGAAAACAGGTCCTTGAAGCCCTGAAGGGAGAAAATGCTAGCAGTGTAAATAAAAGCAAAAGTGGCAGGAAACACCGCAATTTAAAAATGTTTTCTCAGTTTGGTAAACAATTACTGTGATAAGTAATCCCACTTTGGGACTCCTCTTGTTTAAGGGATTGCTTGCCATAATCAAATACAAACGGTGAAGTTGCTTATCAAAATACTGCAAGAATTTTTCCTTATGGCTGTTTTTGAATGATAATAATATATTGCAGAGAGGCTTGAAGAAGAAGGTGACTTTACATGAGCTGAGGAGGGGCAGGTGGATTGCAGGCTGCAGTGGATGGATAGCTGCCATTTTCTGTTGCACTTTTAGCATTATAGATCTGTTCTATTTAACCCAGTGCCTGATAACTTGTTTCATGTTTAAAGAGCAGGGTTCAGGTGGCATTGCTGCCAGATCTCTGGTCTCTGGTCATAGGAAACTTATTTCAGCGTTGTGACAGGTTGATCCCTTCCTCCAGAGCTGTGCACTTATTTGTGTTGTTGGGCAGGAGTTTTTTACAGCACGGTGGCAGAGTTGGGCCCAGGAAGACCACAAAAAGGTATGCTGCCTATGGAGGAGCCTGTCTGGTTGGGCATCTGTGTGTCTGCCTTCCTCACACTGTCCAGGCGATGCTCCCTGGAAGCCAGGGTTGCAGAATCCATGGGTATCCCTGTGGGGCCATCAGGGGGAGGCCTTGCCACCAGGGCTGGCCCCATCCAGCACCTGTGATGCCTGCTGGGATTAGTTATGGCCCAGTGATGGCCAGGCAGGCTGAGGCTGACATGGCCAGCAGGAGCCACACAGTGATGTCAGCCTGTGGTCCAGGCCAGGATCAGTAGGGCCGTGGCCTTGCACAGCTGTGACACATGTGGGCTGTGGCTCAGGCACAGTGCAGTGGGACAGCCTCCACTTAAAAGCAGGCTCATTCACACAGGGGCCTTGTGCTAGAGTATGCATTGTGCCAGGGTGTGTGTTGTGTCATGAAGTGTGCGTTTTCAAATGATAAAGTATAAAAATGAAAAACAAGATGATGACGATGATTATCACTATATAGACCACTTGCTGATGTCAGCTGGAACGTCAGGAAGAAAGCATTTGTTAAGACATATGAGACTTAAGTCCAGGGTTGCCTTTAAGCTTATGGATAGGTAGCTTCTAAGTCCAAACTTAATTTAAAAAGTCGAGTTAATTTGTCTTTGTGTACTAGGTCACAAGAATAAGTAGATCATTGAAGTGACGGCAGTGCATGCTGATGCAGAACAGTCTGATTTGGTTAGTTTTTCCATGGAGCCGTGAACCAGTCATGCATCTTGTAGGAAGCCTCCTTGCTTCCTAGGTTTGAGTTCTGTGTTAGCAATCTTTCCATGTCCTCAGCAGCTTCTCTCTCCACTACAGTTCAAGTCACTGGTACTCCAAAAGGTAATGCCTGTGCTGCCTGTTGTTACCTTAAAAAAGGGATGAATATTGGTCTGTGGTGAGCAGCCCTGGAAGGACCTCAGAAATGTTTTCAGGTTCTGACAGTTTGTATATTCTCAGCGTCCTGAACAGCTTCAGGTCCTTGCATTTGTTTCAGAAGTATTAAATTAGTTATGCCAGGCAGTGAAAAAAGTGTTGCACAGGAACAGAGCCAATTCATGTTCATAGCAGCTGGGTATCTCCCCCAGTACAGGCACAGCTGTGCTCCACTGTTCTCAGGTTATGTGTGTCCTGTAGTCCTGTGAAAGATGGCAACGTGCTGGAATATCCACCTTGCATCTCTTTAGTTGTGGCACTTGGAGAAACCTAACAGTTGGGAGCAAAGTCCATTGGGCTGAATGTCAAGACTTCAGCTGACATTGAGTAGTTTGTGTCAGATCACAGAATCATCATAAATACTGTTTTGACAACATTTGTAGGATGTTGCATGCATCTATCTCCTTTTCACTTCTGTCAGTGATTTATATATACCAAGTTTAATCATCCTTTACAATCATTTTGCTCTCTGAATCTAATTTTCAAATCAAGTGGAGTTTCACCAAATGGAGTTTGAGCCTTTGGCACAGATAACTTCATTTTCTTCTGTGTTCTATAACCTTTGCAGGACTTTACAGTCCAAGAACAGACCTCAGTTCAGACTTCTCCTGGCTTTTATGTTTAAAAATGATTTAATTTCCTAGTGCTGACAGTCTGAAACATTTCACAATACACAAATTTCATGTATGAAATGTATTAAATAAAGCAAGGGAAAACTGGGAACTTTTCCTAGAGGTTTGTGCATCTAAATGTTCATATTAAAAGTGTTTCTAATCCTTATTTGTAGCTAGACCATTTTGTTAACACTGTAATAAGCTGTACTTAAATGCCTGCATTTTAAATTCCTACTTGGACCTGTACTCTTTTCATCAGTCTTACCTTAAAAATAATTAGATGTGTATATTGGTACCACAGTTGCCAAACACATCAAAAACACCAAATAAAAGCCAAGAGTAAATGATGCGAAGTGCAGTCTATTTTTACTTTATTGTATATAAATTACACACAATTTAATTTGTGCTTGGATTAATCACCCAACTGTATTACTTCTGCTTGCTTTATCTGTGCATTCCTAGCAAAGTGGGCCCGAGATCTTGGAGAGCTGCAGCAGCATGGCTGGAGGTCTTGGTGTTCTGTTCCTTCCTTTACTGTAGTATTGAATGAACTTAAATATGTATTTGTATCTTAATATTAAGGTATTTATGTAATTTATGTATGTGTATTTAAATTACTGAAAGAATTATATGTTTCCTGAGATCTGATAAATTAGGAGATTGTAATCCTCTGTATCAAGGGCTGTGTAAGTACGTAATATATATCTGCTATATTTTCAGATGAAAAACATCCATTCTGTGAAATTTCAGAGTTTTATCCATTCTTATGAACTCATCCCTTAACTTAAAGCAGTGTAAACAAGACTTTTGTTGTGTTGCAGTAATACATAAACAAGGTATGCACACATCAAAACTTTCTATATTACATCTGTTGACCAGACTCTTGCTTTGGGTCTGTGAGACTGCAGTTGCCTGAGGTTGCAAAGGTGTATTTTGAGATCCGTAGGCTTCAAGATTAGCCCTGTGCCAGCAGACATCTAAGCCTAGGAAATACTTTTCTGAGGGAGAGGTCAGGCACTGAATGGGCTGCACTGGGAGGTGATGGAGTCACTGATCCTGGAGGTGTTGAAGAAATATTTAGATGTTGTATTG